GGCCCCAAATGTAGGGTTACCATACGTCCGGATTTTCCCGGACATGTTCGGCTTTGGGGGATTTCCCCCCGGACGGGGATTTGAGTCCCAAAAAGCCGGACATGTCCGGGAAAATCCGGACGTATGGTAACCCTACATTTGGGGCCAAATGCTGCACCAAAATGGGTGCCTAGGTTTTGACCCAGGCATTTGATTGCAGTGCTCATATCAAAACAGGATTTGTTGCAGTAACCAAAGGCCCAGAGGGGTTGCCAGCCACCTACAAATCCAGGAGTGTTTCACTTGGTTTGGGGGGGGGGGGGGGAACTGCATCATTCCTGACAGCAGCAGCTCTGTAGAACCTGGGGTATATCTAGCTCCCAATCTCGGTTCCTAACGGGCCAAATCCTACAAGCCTTACTCTGTTCCCCCACAGACAAAACTCCCACTGACTTCAATGCACAGATGCTACAGTGATCGACACTAGGTAAAGCCAGTGGGATTGACTTCAGCAGCCTGCCTGACCCATCCCTAAACATTCTGCTACCCCAGCATACAAACTGCTCTGCCCACTAGCGGAGCCAGTCCCCAGCTGGGTAAGAGAAGTAGAAATGTCTTGCCCAGTCGATACACCCCCCACCCTTCCCTCTAGACAAAAATTGGATCCAGACTTCCATAATGACTAGTCGTTCTGTGTTACATGGACCGACCTGGCTCTGCGCATCAAGTGTTTCCTCCTCTCACGGGCTCTCCTCGGCTCCTTCTCTCACTGGCTCAGCATGGCACTGCTCTTTGTCCCATCTCCCAGCAAACCCAGCCGCATGGCAGCCTCCCTAAATAGTCTGTCTGCAATACAGATGACTCAGAGTAAAAATTAGAAAGAAGAAAGGGGAAACCAGTGGGTTACAGCGCTTATCCAAGACAAAGGGAAAAAAAGAGGAAGCCACAGGGGGGGAAAAAACAAACTAGTGTCTGGAAGCACCTCACATCCCCACTGACTTGTTGAATAACTTAGTCTCTCTGTGCCTCAATGTTCCCATCTGTACCACGTAATAACTCTGAGAAGCAGCTGAGGCTTCTTTAATGGTTATAAGGTTCCACTGATGAGCAGAATTACAGGAGTGCACAGGAACGGTCTAGAATGGCCCATCTCTTCAATAAGAAACTTGCACAACAGCCAGCTGGGAAAACAACAGCTTCTGAAATAGGTTCTCAACTTTCTAGGTCCAATGTTATAGGACAGGGGTCTTCAGGGAGCGGAGGGGTGGCAATGATAAACAGAACTAATGCTTTCATTTAAACCCCCCCACACAATTGGAGTTCTAATAGACTTTCAGATTAAGCTTGATCCCTTTAACTGCAGCCTTATCAACACACCAACACCTTTGTACCTGAATGCAGACAGGGACAAAAATTCCTTCTTGGTGTAGAACCATAGCAGGTGTGCCTGGGATTGATGGGATAGGCCATTAGGACACTTTCCCAAATGAGGCTTCTAGTTTTGGGTGCCCATTGACGTCAATGGTAATTGTGGGTACTTGGCTCTTGACAAGAGTCAGGCCCTAGGTGTCTCAAGTTGGACAAAGCAAGGAATAGAACCCAGGAGTCCTGGCTCCTAGGCCCCAGCTCGAAGCACGTGATGGGAGGGGCAGCACGGCAATCGCTGGAGGATTTTATGCAGGCACACAAATCATTTTGACTGCTCTTTTACAGAACTATTTCTGTTGTTCTTCCCACACAACTTGAGACTTGTAACAGCGATGACAATTCAACAGACACCTGATTTTAAAGAGTCCAGAGGATTCACATAACTCGATACTCCTGCAGTTAATGCAGTGTCACACAGCGTTGGATCAGCACCTCTCCCTGCTTTTGTTCGACAGTGTAAACTCCTGAACAGCCTCCTGCAGGGCTGTCAGAGCCCTGCTCCTGGGCATCTCAGCACAACCCGCTGGGTGGGGCAAAACTGGTTGGCACTTCCTGCTGCGTACAAACTGCATGCATAGCGTACGCCTTCTAAGATACGCTTTGTGAAGACTTCAAGTGAGGCTGATCTGAAAGCAATGTGCTAATTGATACGCCGATCTACCTCGTGGGGCCTGTCATCATGACAGTACGTCAGTGCCATCTTAAAGTATAAAAACCTGCCTCTGTTTCCATGTTTACTTGACAAATAATGGTAAGAGGTTGCTCAGGGGCATTGGGTCTGCAGGTGTCGGCTGGCAGCGATTTTTGGTTTTTTGAAGGAAATGGTCTTGAAGATATATAAACTCTAATTTGTTATAACCACCGAAGATAGAGGCTCAACTTCAGACAAGCGAGGGCTGTGATAGTTTCAGAGGACCTCACTTGGTTCCTAGGTGAAAGTTTGCTTATTGATCATTTCTTCAGCTGTGTAATAGACACAGATAGACACTCACTAGCATGACGGATGCTCAGGACTGAGCTGTAGCTTAAGTTTTCTTCATTTAATAACGAAGTTTCTGGCTCTTTTTATTAAATGGTTTTGGGAATTCCACTCGTGTGTCCTCCAATCTCCATTACAACAGAATCCAGGTGTTGGGCATGTTTGTAGCACAGTAGGGGAAGGGGGTTACTTTTAAAGCCAAACCACTGGAGAGATCTCCCTCACGGAGCCCCCTTTTGGTGCCGGCACACAGGATGGAACCTGTGCACACTATGCATATACCATCTCTGCAATAGCTGCTGAGGACAGCTTCCAGAATCAGTCCAATTCTCCCGCCCCACCATCTGGTGGAGTACCACCTAGACCAAAGGTGTGGGCATCCCAAGTCCTTGAATTATAGGGATGCTCTATAGTATAGTCCTTATTTCTATTCTCCCCTCATGCTCCATACCTTAGTCCTAGCTTGCTGGCCACATACCACACTCAACCCTCCAAGTGTGAGGTGGTCAACCATCACATTCCAATTAACCCATTAAATAGGAGGCATTACGATTAGACCCCATCACCAGAGATGACCACCAGAAACTGGGGGAGGGGCCTTTAGAAGTGGGTGGGCGCAGACTACACCCAGTTTTTTTGAGATCTCCCATAACTCTTCATAGTCAGCTTTGGACTTAACTATCTTGAATAATTTTGTATCATCTGCAAACTTTTCTACCTCACTGTATCTTTTAAACAGGAACTTCCCTGTTATCCCATGACTGCTTAGTTTCCTCAAGAGCCCTTGCTAAGGGACCTTCTCAAAGGCTTTCTAAAAATCCAAGTACTCTATCAGCTTGGTCACCCTTATTCATATGATTGCTGACATCCTCAAATAATTCTAATAGCTTGGTGAGGCATGACTTCCCTTTACAAAAGCCATGGTGACTTTTCCCCAACAAATCATGTTTGTGTCTGATAATTCTTAAGGTTCTCTTTGATGTTAGGTTCAAATCACCAGAAATTGAGATCAGGTGCAGCACAGTGGCAGCCCGGCTAGTCAGCCCAGCAGGTGTCATTACCTAACTGGCATTCACAAAGGCGCATTGACTCCAGGGCAGAAGGTCCTATGCCCCACTTAAGCCTCATGTTAACAGCTGTGTGTCAAGTGATGCACATGGTTTCATGGCAAAGCTTGTGCCCTAGGGTGAATTTCATGCAGGGGGGTGGCGGCTCGCACACGCTTTGGGAAGGGGAAACTCACCTGAAATTCCCTTCTCTGGGCGCGATACAGGCTTAACATTCTAATAGCATCTTGGCCTACTGGGACTTAGCGACCCTGGAAAGCACCAGGATAGGATGGGACAAAGCATTGCCGGCGAGGCCATGCTTCATAGCATCACTACAGCCTGAAATCACTGCCATGCTCCTGGGAAATTAGAGCCACTCCACAGCGTCTGCCCTTCCCCAGCATCTTTCATCCATGGAACTCAGACTTTACCAGCTTTCATTCATTTAGCTTCAGCACTCCCGGGGGACAAAAATCCCTGCTTTGCTGATGAGGAACTAGAGAGAGTGACATGCCCAAGACTGCACTGTAATTTGCGGCAGAGCCAGGAAGGGGATCCTGTGTAACCAAGTCCTGTGTCTTAACCACAAGATCAGCTGATTCCCACTCCCTCCTGGGTTCTATGTGAGGAAACAAACATCACCTTTCTTGTTGTCAAAGACCAAACACTTACAGGAAAGCTTATTCAAATGAAACCTCTCCTATTTGTGGGGCCAGAAAGAACATGCCTAAATCTTTTTAAAGGAGAAAAATACAACATTTATATTTAATCAAACAGTCAGAATCATTCAGGTACAAAATAAATCCACTGATCATTCAACAGTGTTGTCACCTCAGAACCAGTTAATTGTCAACCACAAGCATTGCCACAGCATTAAAAAACACAAACTGAGACGCATGTTCTGAACTGGGGACAGACATTTATATAAATAGGCTCCAACACAAAAAACAAACAAGCATTCATTTTTAACGCCTGTCTCCAATAGTCTTCTCCCACCTTTGTCCATGCTGCTGCCAGACTAAGTGTGTTAGAACAGAATCAGTCTGTGTCAAGAAGAAGAAGAAGAAGAAAAAAGAAAGACTTCCGTCTCTAACTTTCCCAATTAGTGGTTTTAAACGAGAACTGCAGTAATATACAGACTTGGCTAAGTGTTGGGAAAAACAGTGCAACCATTTTCCTCTCTTCCCCAGAACTGCGGAGTCAGTTTATTTGACGCGTCACTGGTCGGTAGTGCAAGGAACAGCTGGTACTGCCACGTCTGAAAGCAAGCTTCATTCAGAGACTCCTGTAATAAGGACACATTCACCTCTCATTAGTCATGGGACAGAGTTTCTAAAGCCATTTAAGAATCAAAAAGAAATGAGAACAACTCCATGAACTGAAGAGGGATATCAAGGCAAAAAAAAAAAAAAAATCTTTGCACTTATTTGGTACCTGTCAACCAAAAGCTGTTGATGTTTTTTATGTTGATCAGACCACAGCACACCTGTGCAGTATGGTGTTAGCCCTGTGAATACAGGCAAGGAAACCGCTTGCCCTGCAGAGAGTCTATGGGAGAGACACGAAAAGCATCCAACTCCCCAGGCCCTCTAAGAATTAAACACTCCTTTTGCCCAGCAGTGGCTTGTGGGTGATCTTACTCACGTTAAAAGCACTGCCTGATAGAGACCATCTTTTGCATTCTATTTAAAAGTCCACCACTCTGGCCACTGATAATTTAGAAATCGACAACAGCTGCCATTGCTAGTGTAGGACCGTCAGTATCTTTGCTCCACTGTTGCAGACAAAGCAGCCCAAGTGAACCCCCATCACCAGAACTCTGCTAAGGCCATCAGCAAGGGGCACATGGCAGCCAAGGTGTAGAGAAGACACTGGGACAATGTTTAGGCTCTGCAGCAGGAGCCAATGGCTTTAAATACATCCTTCAAACATTCCTCTCCCCAAGAGCTCACTCCTCTTTACCTAAACTGTCATCCGCTGTTTTGTTTTTGTTTAAACTTGTCTTATCTTAGCAACCAATCGCGCAAAACTCTCACTATCAATTGCAATGCCTTACGACCAATTCTCACCACTGACTGCAAGGACTCTGGGCTGTTGAGTCCATATGACAGTGGGCCTTTGTCTCTAAAGCTGTCATAAATATAAAGGGAAGGGTAATAACCAAATCCCTCCTGGCCAGAGGTACAGAATCACTTACCTGTAAGAGGTTAATCAGTTCAATTAAACTAGTTGGCACCTGACCAGAAGGTTCAATGGGGGAAAGAAGATACTTTCAAATCTTGGGAGGGGGGCGGGAGGGGAGGAGAAGAGGTTTTGTTTGTGCTCTTTGTTTTTGTTCCCTCTTGGAATAAAGAGAGACCAAGCAGGTAACCCAGCTCCTACCGAAATGATACATCTAAAATTACAGAAATTGTAAGTAACAGCAAGGAAATGCATTAGATTATCTTTTGTTTTAGCTTGTGAATTTTCCCTATGCTAAGAGGGAGGTTTATTCCTGTTTTAGCAGCAAAGAGTCCTGTGGCAAGACTAACAGACGTATTGGAGCGTGAGCTTTCGTGGGTGAATACCCACCTTGTCGGATGCATGTATTCACCCACGAAAGCTCATGCTCCAATAAGTCTGTTAGTCTATAAGGTGCCACAGGACTCTTGTTGCTTTTACAGATCCAGACTAACACGGCTACCCCTCTGATACTATTTCTGTTTTGTAACTTTGAAGTTGAGCCTAGGGGACAATCCTGTGTGTTTTAAATCTTTTTATTACCCTGTAAAATTACCTTCCATCCTGATTTTACAGAGGTGCTTCTTT